ACTTTGCAAATTCTAATACTTAGATCAAGTGTGAAAATGGACACTATCTGGTCATTCCTTTTGGTACCTCCCCCCACCAAAGGGTCAACATTTTGATTAACCACAATGATAATAAAATGAGAGATGAGTATCCGATTATTTTTAAACTCAGCTCATCCAAATACATCCACGAAGATCTGGTTGGAAGATAGGATATAGAGAACCACTCCCTCAGGTGCCTTTTCCACAAGGGGTCAAGATTTTCAATGATTGCATGTGTCATAAAATACAAAATAATTATTCGATGCTCCTTTAAACTTCGAACAACGCAATACTTTTAATACGATACTTAATATATTATGTGAATTCTATCGGCATATTCATTTTCATGCATCCCTAACGAAGATCCAAAATTTTGAAATATTATCTAACATGGGATATGTCGCTTCCCTCCTTCTGGTACCTCCCCCAAAAAATATATAAAAGATATTTATTAAAATTTAAAAGCATACAAATTAGGACATCCCAATATTTTCATCAGTATAATATAAGGTATGAAAATGGAATAAATCGGTCCACGCTTTCCGATACATCCTCCACAAAAGTTACACTTTTTCCAAGAAATATATACACATATCTCATATAAAGTCAAAGAAGTGTTTTATATACTCCACATCTGTCACGTCGCAATATTTATAACAGTCTTATAAAGTTTTACTCTTTCGGAGGTCTGAGGTAAGCGTCTATAATTCGAATTTTTAGGAAACTAAGAATAAGATTTGTTAGGTAAAGTTGATTATGCACTACACCATAAGATGGGGGGTATATTATATTTTTTTTTATTCCGAATATATATATGAGAACATATATACGAGAACTACTCTTCTAACTGGTTTTGTAGTCTCCGATGAAGTAAATATTATGGACTGTGTTTCTATCAGTTGGTTTTAGCGACCATTACCGAAATTGTGAACAATTACCCAGTCAGCAATTTTTGAAATTTTTAATTATATTCAAGTCTTTTCCCAGTCAGCATTTTTTGAAATTTTTAATCATATTCGAGTCTTTTTTGATCATGTTGCGCGATTAAAAAGCTGGACTATGAGCGCATTTTCTGATCATAAAAGACTCAGTTGTCGGGAGAAAAACGTGACTTCCCGCGACTCTTCTAAATAAATCACATATGAGTCTTCCTCTAGATTAGTTAAGAGTCTTTTTCGACCATTTTCGAGTCGTTTTCTAATCATTTATTGCGCTAAAACGCTTAATTTGTGAATCTTTTTCGAGTCCTTTTTTGATAATTTATGAGTCTTAAGTGAGTAATTTATTAGTTTTTTAAGTGTCATATATCACTCATATGTATATTCATTTAGGAGTCTTTATGTTTACGATTCTACGAATCACGTACGTAATTTCTAAATATTCGGATGTACCGTAAAAAAAGAATTTAATTATATATGTTCATATAAAAATTTATTTAAAATACAAATAATTCAGCTTTTATGATTATAATTTGAACTGTAATATCAATAAATGCAATTGTAAAAAATATAGTAAAAGATTAAATAAGAAAATGAAAAAAAATTTAAAAAAATGAAAAATCAAAAATTAGGAACTGCCGTTTTCCTATTTGTAACGCGGTCTTTAGCGTGAACAAAATGTTTTTGTAGGATCGTGTTCATATCCTTGTCATTGCTTGAGTATTTGAGATGACACATATCTGAAATAAAATATGTACAAGTCTTTCCATTTTACTAATTCTTTATATACGTGTAAAATGACTAACTTACTTTTGATTACTGTAAATAAATAACACTTTTCTGCACTCAGATTTACCCTGTGCCCTGCCAGCTGTATTGGGAGGCTAATTTATCGGTTTTTGCAATAAACTCTTTCTGGAAATAGATTATCAAAAAAAATATATAAGTATTAATAGTTTATAAAGTGGTGAATTAATCAATCAAATGCCCAATTTTCTATACTTACAAATCAAGTTCTGTCTCATTTTGCTTCACCAATTCACGTTTCTGGACATTTTCTTCATTTTTCTCATATTCAGTTTACTTCTTTTTATAAATGAACAGTAATTCAACTTTTTGATAGTCAGTCAAGAAACAAAATGACCCTTGTATAACAAAACAAGCAGCATTTATGCACTTATCTGTGCAAAATATGATAAAAAAATACACAATTTTGATCACTTTTCAAACACCTGCCAGATCTTTTTAAGACTAATCATTTTTCAATCTCTAGATGATCGCAATACGATAATAAATAACGGAAAAATGATCACATTTTGCACATTTCAATGAATGATTTGCGATTGCCCTACATTTTGTTGTTGTATATTAAACTGATCTCTTTTCACTCATTAGAGAGAGTCATTTTCGAGTTCGATCATAAAAGTCAGTTAATCATTTTTTGGTCACCAAAAGGACTCAAAGAAGACTCACCAAAGTGATTTTTTCAAAAACAATCTTCCAAATGCTATCTGGGTATAATTGGTCTTTTCCAGAACTACAAGAATGTAAAAGTTTTTACTGCGATAACCGGTTTTCCCTTTGCGATATCGGAGAAAATTGCAAAACTAGTAGATTCTTGCAGAGCAAATATTGCTGTTATGCAAAAAGCTGAAATCATGAAAGAAAATTGTAAAATCAATGATATAATAAATCTTTGGGAGAAAAACAATAATTTTTTCTATCCACATTAGTGAGAATTTCATGTATTTTCGTATAAATTCCCATTAAAATCAATAAACAAAATTTTTGAATTACGAATCGTGCCGTATGAACGGGTTAATTCGTATACCTAATTCTGAGAACATAGCATAAGTTTGGATTTGTTCGAATTTGTCACGTTTGGCACGAATGAAACCATCATACGCTGCCCGAATGTTGCTCTGCGGTATTTTGGCAAATTCCCGGCGAAGCGCTTGCTTGAGGTGATCGACACTTTGGTATTTTTTAGAGCCAACCTTGCTTTCCAAAATACCCCAGACACAATAGTCCAACGGATTGGTATCCGTAGATTTTGGTGGCCATTGTGCGGCACCGAGGGTGGCGCGTGCTGAGTGCGATGGTGCTGAGTCCTGTTGGAATGTCCAAGGTCTGCGGACAAAATGTTTGCGTGCCTAAGGTTTTAATACACCCTCCAGAATATTTCCGCGATAATATTCGGCTTTTATTCTGATCTAATAATACGAGCGGAAAGCGGCCACTATCACCATGGCCGCCGCTTGAGTTCTGGTGGCCAACCGAAGGTGCACGAGCGATGGTACGAGGCACAAAAGATTTATTCACATTTAAATGCTGAAGTGCTCTAACGATAGCCACTTGTGGTTTTCCAGCCAAATATAAAGAAATCACACTATCACGCTTGAATTCCGTCACGAATAACTTTTTTTCTGGAAAATTCTCACAAAAATGCTTTTGAACGCTTGTAAACAATATAATGAGCGGTCACTGGACTAATTTTAACAGTTGTCGGACGAGTGGCTTAGAAATGACCGCAGTCTGAAGTATAGCGCATATCATGGTACAATAAAAAGGTAAGGTAGAGCTACCAGCTGATTATAATTTTTTTGTTCAAAGCGTGCCCGACTTCTGCCAATTTTGTGTATGTATTTATTGTTTTGAAAAATGAATACAAATTATTCTCATAATCAATGATTGAAAGAAACGCACATTGCAGGACTTGCATTACAAATATTAACCAGTTATGTCCTAAAATTCAAAAATTGAACAGTTTGGATGATTGTTTTTGAAAGAAAATAGACACATTTCATTAATGTTTAGCTATTTTTAACTCATTTTCATGGTACAATGAAATAAAGGTATCCTTATTTCAAATTAGCATTCTGCATTTTCTGTAACTTACCTTGTCAAATTTGAATGCATAAAAAACAGTTCCCATTCCTGATTTTGTGTGTATACTATGGATTTATGAATATAGATTTTGACAACGAAATGTTGTCAAATGTTTAGATTTGAAAAAAAAAAATAAACATATGATTACATGACTTTATCTTCTTAGTTCTACCATGATCATTTTAAAAATGAGGAAAAATATCAAATGAATGAAAACAACTTCTTGCATATAATTTTGAATGAGTCTGACAGGAAGCGGGTGTAGCCTCAGGGCTGTATTGCTGTAGTTTTACGAAGCTGTTCCAACTCCTTATTGTATTATGGCGCATATTACGTTTTTGAGTGGTGTATATATCAAATCAAAATTAAACTTTTATATGGAGCTATAATTATATTTGAACAGATATGTACTAAGTTTATCAAAGGTACTTTTGTTATTGCTTTGTTTGTCTTCGTTTTGTGCACAATAAATGTGAAATCTAACCGATTAATCTGAACCGATTATTGTATTACAATTTCAAAAAGGCTTGTAATTGGGCTAAAAAATACACTTTGAAAAATTGTATCTTAGTCGAACCATAAAAAAGAGATATACGACAATTTTCTTACAATTATATGTGTAAAGACAGTAGGACAAAGAATACGACTCATGATTCTAGAATTCGGTCCTCGATTTCATTTCATATTTCTTTCTTACCTTTATAAAAGTTTTTACTTCACATTTTCATAGAGCAGATGGAGTGTCAAAAATTGTTTACATTGTGTTTATTGTTTGTTTATCTTTCGTACTGTGGTTTCAATTATAGTAAGTGTTTCGACAATTCGTCGCTTTGATGGCACCATGCTTATATGTTACAAAGAAATGTACAAAGATCTAATATCCTGAATAATGTATGGTGTGGGTTACAAAATCATTGCTATTTTAGAGCGGCAAACAGATCCTAAACTAAAATCTATTTCACGATATTCGATCATTAAATTTAAAGTTGTTGCAGTGAGCCCTTCATAATGTATTGTATAACATGCGATTATGTACGAGTAGGGTATAGAAATGACGTTTGGCAAAAACAACCAAACGTAGGAGTGCCGGTGTGAGAGTGTGTGTGAAATTGAGTTGAAGTTAATCTGTGTTGGCCATACTCTGGATGACTCGTGTTTCTGTTTCTGTTTACAGGTGAGTGGCGAAGCGTTTTTGAATACCCACTACCAAATACTTATAAGAAGACGTTCTATTACCTGTTTTGTTTAAACGTCCATTTGTTGGCAATCAGAGAAGACGTACCTTCGGACGATCAATTCAATCCATTCAACGCTCTACTGCCGGTAAAAATTAAATTAAATAAACAAACAAAAAAAAAAAAACTGGAATCGGCGTTGTTTTTTTTTATATTTCGAGAAAGCAAACAAAAACAAATGCCATAAAATGGTGGTGTAAAGAGTGACTTTGATAGACAAAAAAACCCAAAAAAAAAAAAAAAAAAGACAACAATAATACTTTTGTGTATTATGATGTGATTCTAAGCCAGAATTTATTTTTTTTGCTCAAATACAAAATGGCAAAAATGACGCATTTTATTCGTGATTGTGAATTTGATTATCAAGTCAATTATTTATTAACTCTGTGTCTGTGTGAACAATAAAGTGGTCTTTTGTGTTTATGATTTTGCCTTTGTAAATTTGCTGCTTTGGAACGAACAATTAATTACTGTGCGATTTGTAAATTGAAGCTTTTTCTGAGACTCCTTGAAATCGCGTTAATGATCTTGAAGCTTATCACATTTTCAACATTCACAAAGCCATTGGAAGAAAATAGATGGGAATTTCAAATTGAAATTTGGTGTTTTGATTATTCAGTTCAGTAAGATTGCGCAAAGTATCTGCTCCGCTTTCCAACAAAATTAGAAAGTCAATAATATTTGGTGAGAGAAATTTTGAGTTTGAAACCAGTCCGTCAGTCAGTGCTTAATTGTTGTTTGGGGACAAAACAAAAAAAAAACGTATATACAAACATACAAATATACGTATATATTTTAGATTTTTATAATTTTATAGTTTCCTGTTTTGATTTGCACTCTAATACTATTGTTTGATTTCTTTTGTGATATAAGAAATACAGAAGCGAAAAAAAATATATATATATCCCCTGCAATCACGTCGTTGATAAATGATATTGTCAAATTTATTCCAAAATGTTAATTTCATAACAAAGTGAACTAATCTCCAGTGATTGACAATTTGAGACAAATGTGTTTATTCATAAGGCGAATCCTAAATTTAAAAAAAAAATAAATCGTCAAATACTAGTGGAATTTTTTTAGATATAAAAATAAGCAATGTTTTCCAAACTTTAAAAGAATTCAAAATAACTGTATTTACAATATCACATCCTTCTTGTGAAAAAATATTGAATGAGAAGCCATACCCATATTTAGAAAAACTTAAAGTTAATTCCTACAGATTTGTACCCTACTGTATTGTGTGAGCACACTTGCTTATATGTCGATGATGTCGGCACGATTGTATTTGTATGATTTATAAAGAAACAATACTTATACATACATATATTTCATACAATATTCAAACAAGATAATTTTGTTAATGGCCAAAATGCAAATAACGACATAAAATTTCCGAACTTTTACGAACGATTCCGCAAATTCTTGACTAAGATTATTTTGGATAATGTGTTCAGGGTTTTTATATCACATCTAGGATTTTCTTGTAAAGTAGACTATCTACTATCCCAAGCTTAATATGAATTTGACAATTTGAATAAACCACTAACACCCATGTTTTAAAATGTATCGTTTTAGAAAGTAATGGAATATAATGTTTAACATTTTTAGTTAAATTTTTATTCATAATTTTTGTTTTTTTTTTATTCAATATTAAGATGATGGGTTATAAATTTTTTGATCTCTAATGAATATCTACAATTGACGCAGATACGATGGAGAATAATTTGAAATATGTAGAGTACACCTAAGATATTTAGGAGTTCTGTAGAAACTCTATGGAGACAATATTTCAAGTTTGATTTGTCAAAAAGTTTGTAAGACCTCAAAATATTGGTCGTACGCAGGAACAACTCCGGACGCCACTTCTTACTTGGTATTGAGGAAAATTAGATCTTTTGCTTTGACATTTTGAAAGGAATATCCCTTATTTTCGTCCCATTGGTAACGCAGACTGTAACTTGTTTACATTACCTTGTAATAACTTCCAAAAATTTGCTGGGTTCCCTAATATACTAATCCATTCAATCGATGATTTTGAATTGTGTGTTCGTCTATCAGAGTTGAAGCATAAAATGTAGAGATTTCCCTATAACATTTTGGGGATAAAATGGAGCAGAATCTTGATTTTTCGCAGGTCACAATTATGACCGCTTTTGCAAATGTTTAGAGTTTAGGTCAGAGACCATACCCTTAACTGTGGATATGACCAAATAATTACTACTGGTTAATCTTTGTTAGAGAAATACCAATATTTACATTCAAGCAAGAATATGTTTGAAAAACATATTTATACATACATATTATTTACATATTATTGAAAATAATACTTCTCATTTTTTTCAAGTGATGCCTAATAAATTGTCGTAAATACGACAGTATACATACTCAGTGATATGGATACAGAGGGTAAACATTTTTTTTAATAGGACTAAAACGTGCCTTATAGAAATAAAGTATTTAGACCCTAGGTCTTTTTGAACCAAATCCATTTTAGGACATTTGGAGACGATTAGTCCGTCCGTTTGTCTGGCTGCCTGGATTAACCGATTTGATCCTAACTTTGTATATCGTAATATCATTGTCAAACTTAGATCTAGTTCGGAGGTCCTTCTGGGATCTCCCCTCTCAAAAGGTCAAAATTTTTAAGGGAAATAATTTACCTTCTATGCAAATCTCGAAACTTGCATCAGTGATGTCAGATGTGAAAATGGACATTATGTACCTTCTCTCCAAAGGTAAAAATTTCAAATTTCATATATCCCAGTATTTCTACCAACACAAGATCAGGTGTGAAGAATGGGTATATCGATTCACTCGCTCTGGTACCTTCCCTACAAAGGGGTCAAAATTTTGAATAATAACCATGAATCTCATAAAATTCGATACGAACACCTGATTATTTTCAAACTCATCATATCCGGAATATGTCTGACCACTCTCTCTGTTACCTTTCCCACAAAGGGTCAACATTTTGAATGATTATATCTATCATCTTCAAATATAACATATCCCAATATTTTTCCTAACGCATGTTATGGTGTGAAAATGATACGTGTCTTCCTACCCCTTCTGGTACTTCTCCCACAACTTATATCACTCACAACTTGAGAAACAAACGGCAGATTCTTTTTAAACAAAATGTTTAAAGATGTCTGATTATTTCAAAATTTTGCACACGTAGTCGATATAGTCCACATCTGCCACGTTGTAATATTTATATCAAAGTTAGTTCAGATAAGAAGAGGATACTATTAGTCCACTCCTTCGGTATCGCCTACATACACTGACATAGGCTGAGTATATACATCTGTGGGCAAAACGGACTAATACATTCTAACATGTTATTATTGACAATAGTAGGCGTAACTACATCACGAGATTTTCCTTGACCAAGTGGCAGGAATGAATAAAAATACTTTCATTAAAAGTTATGCATTTTAATTTTTCAGCGTGTGTAGGTTTCTGTGCAGGTCTATGAAATTTATACGAAGAGGATTTAAAATCAATTTAGAGAATAAACCTTGCTATTTAGGCTTTTTACACATATATTTTTCGGGGTAGAAGCCCTTTATGTATAGATTTAGCAATCGATCAATAAATTTATAGTATCATACCAAAAAGCGTGATCAAAAACAAATAATCTACTACCATGAGCTTAATATTATAATGTGTCGTTTTAAAATCGTTCCTTAACTGATACCGTATTATTTTTATATGAGTTATCATTTTATTAATTAGACCGCTAACAAATAAATTTTCACCTTGAGCATTCTATGTAATAAATACCTTATAACAATTGCACCACGATACACAACCATACGGAGTTGTCTAACAAAAGAGAAGACCCTATGCTTGGCCGGGTCCAACTTATCACGATGAACAAAATTCCTTGAGCAAAACTGCAAATATCAGTGACATCGGTATGAAGGTTTGGTCAAAGACTTTTTAAATACCGAGTAGTGGACTGTACCGATAGAGCAATATAAAACAATAAAACAATTTTATTTTTATAAATTAATGATTTCTTTTTTATTCTCTCAATACCTATCTTCTATTTTTGCACGTTAAATACATACAATCCATTTTTGTCTCTCTTTTCTCTTTTACAGACCCTATTCAAAATGTGGAAATTAATTGTCGTAACTGCTTGCATTATTTTGGGGTCTTTGGAATCTGAAGGTAAATTTCCCGCAATCCTCTATTGTCCTCGACTAATTTAATATTTATTGTTTAACAGCTGCAAAACGCAAATCCAAACGTCAAATACCTGACTATGACTTTGGATTCGGATCGTATGCTCCTGATTTTGGTTTCATCGATCCATTTGCTTTCCATCAGCAGTTGACTCAGCAAATTTTGGCACAACAAGCCGCCCAACAGCAGTAAGATTGTCACCTTATATTTGATTGTCTTTTTTTTGCATAATTCTTAATTTGTTTGGCTTTCTTTTGTTTCGGAACTTTTCTTGGTGATGGTACCGCAAAATTTGCTTATTTCTAATGCTTTTGTAAATGCCTAAATTCATAGAGCTATAGCCTCAACATTTGTAAATGGCGATGCAATGGTTTCTGCTGGGGCATCTAATATGCCCGACTATATGGATGATGAAGAGTAAATATTTCATGCTTAGTAGCGGTTTTCATGCCCATTAGAAGCGAACTAATAATTGAAAAAAAATAATTGGTTTCCTTGCGTGTACTGTGTTTCAGAGCCATCTACCGTCAGCAACAGGCTCTCTTTGATTATGCCAGACGTCAGAGTCACTACAATGGCAAAGGCAATCGTTATGCTCCCAACTACTCGGCCGCCGCTGCCTCAATTGGACCCGGAGGTGCTTACCAAACGGCTTATATTAGTCCTGGCAATCCCGTAAGTTGCATAGTCCTTCAACCCGAAATCATTCACTTACATTCCTCTTTATTAATTCCTTAGGCTATTCCAAACATCAGTAATCGCTTTTCCTCGACCAGCCCTGGTGGCTTCAAGGGTGTGTCCGTCAGTTCCTACAGCAGCAGTTCCGATGTCAATGGCAAGCGCACCAGCAACCGTGGTGCCCAAACGACAATCAACGATAACGGACGCATTACCACATACAAAGTTAATTCCTAGATTCGACGCGTTAAGGCTATCCCTTGATTATTTATTCCCACCTTCACTGTTTAATTTATTTTCGAAATTTATTAATTTATGATTTACTCAAGAACTGCGAAAATTCTAAAGATTCATATTAAATATTCTTATTTAATATTATTTATACATATTTAGAAAGAAACCTTTTATATAATAATCTTCGAAATTATAACACACACACACAGACATAAAGAGAATGAAGTGAGAACAAATAATGCAATTTTCCCAATTCGCATTTTTCCTTGAACTCAGCTGTGCCCCTTAAAGGCGAAGTTCAATTTCAGTTTCATTGTCACCGGAAACTAATCGTTGAATAATATGAATGATCTATTGTTTATTGAATGATAACGCTGAGACGAAAAAAAAAACAAGTATTTTCTTAAAATAAACTATAAATAACCAAGCGATGTGATAAGGAATTAAAAAAAAATAGCATTAAGCCTACTTCAGTAGATATGATCATAATTTATATCAGAGCGAATGTTAAATAAAAATGTTACAAAAAATCTAAGTAATCGTTTTTTTTTTTTAAATTATGCCCTCCACCTTAGAATGAAGGGTATATTAACTTTGTCATTCCGTTTGTAAAATCCCTAAATATTCGTCGTAGACCCCATACTGTATATATATTCATAATCAGCATAAGACGATTTAACGATTTCCGTCTGTCTGTTCGTGTGTCTGTCTGTCTGTTGAAATCACGACACAGCCCACATTATTTGACGTAGAGCGTCAAAATTTAGCAGAATAATGGTTGGTATTGAAAATGAGATATATCGGTCTACGTTTTGGTATAGTCCCCATATAACGGTACCATCCCACGCTTTGGTATAGCCCCCATATAACGGTACCTCCCGATATTCGGTATTTTGATGATTTTTGAAACATTTTTTCATGGATTTGTCTAAAAATTGGTATTTGTTGGTCATAATGGGTTCTAGCTCCGGTGACGAAACTTTGCATGTATAGGTCCACGTTTTGGTATAGCCCCCATATAACGGTACCTCCCGATATTCGGTATTTTGAAGATTTTTACCACATTTTCACGGATTTGTCTGAAAATTGGTATTTGTAGGTCATAATGGGTTCTAGTGTTTCCATTACCCTAAGGTGGAGGGTACTAAAAGTTCGGCCCGGTCGAACTTAATGTTTTTTTAATTGTTGATTCTCATTTTTTACGAATGACTGAGATATGAGATCAACAGATGTGGAAATCAAAAGATAATACATGTGAGAGCTATATCTATATCTTTACCGAAACCCGTTTTTGTCAAATCTGGATAAGTATATCATCTAGCGAATGTGGGAAAGGAATTCGCCTACTGGTTTATTCTTTTAAATTGTTAATTAATTCAGTTCCCTTCCAATTCTGAGTGTATTAAAACAAACTGCTGAGTATTCCGAAAGGAGATATAAAGACCAATACCGTCAGTAAAAGATTGTGCCACGCTCGTGATACTTTTGATTTTTTAATTATGCGGTACTTCAGTGTAAAAAATCTCTTTGTTACTTTGTTTAAAAACGACGGCTTGAAACTGATATAAATGTAACAGTTGTCAATTTGTCCATCAATTTAACTCATAGATACAACATTTAAAATAAATGAATGAAATGGACAGTTGTCGTACTCCTAAGACTATTGGTATTGAAATTTCCCTATGTGGTTGTCCACCGGTCGGCTTTAGTTACTGTAACGTTCCTAAGACAAATACCCTGACCGAAACAGCTGTAATGTAGTATTTAAGATCAAAGAGTATCATTATACACTACACCACACCGTGGTGAGGGTATTATGTTTTTGTGCACTTGCTTGTAACATAGAGAAGGAAGCGACCCATAGTTTAATTTGATGATGTTCATACTCGTGAAATCACATTCTGAGTCGATTTATGTATTTCCCATATATTTGTGTAAACAAAGTACAGGTCACATTTGTTTGGTCCAAGGATGAACCCTATTAAAATTGAAGATAATCGGTCAAAATTTAGATATAACTTACATATATATCTTCGCCCGATTTGCCTTTTATTTTGTACTAAATGTGTAATATTAGCCTAAATGGAACCGAATTTTGCACATATAACGAAATTGAGCCTAGAAACAAGTGTGTCAAATTTGGGAATCGGTTCAGATATAGCTATAGCTCCCATATATATTCCTTATCCGATTCGTTAAATTTCTCCCCCACAGTCGGAGAAATACAGCTTAGAGATACCATTGCCAAATTTCAAAGAGCTTAGTTCAGATTTAGAAATCCCTCTCATATATCATCATCCGATTGTGCCTAAAAAGTGTAATATCAGCTCAAATAAGATGGATTTTGATGAAAATCGGTTCAGGCACAAATGCTTCTGTCGAATTAAGTAGAATACAATAGAAGCCTGTCATATATTAGTTCTTTTCGGGCTTTAATTATAACTGCCTTAAATATCTATGTTGGTATATTTTAATTCTCAAAAATTCCCCATAAAAATTTATGTGTTATATCTAGCTCTACTATATATGCAAAGTGGTATCATTAAATCGACCCAGCCCGACTTTGATCTTTCTATAAAGGTTTTTCAAGTGACATCACGATATTTTTACTAAAACAATTATAATGGTTCAAGTTTTAACGTATCGACTAATTCTATTCATTTTTAAACAAAGATCTGTAGTTAGATATTTTGAGATCTCAAAGGCATTTAAAAGGTCCTTAGATAATACGAACCTTTATTGGTAGTATATACATATTTCTTGTCTTTTGGTGGTTCGGATTCCTAATTGACTGTAATTTTAAAATAAAAATGTCAACCAGATTCATGAAATGGTTGGAAGGTACTTATCACATTTTCCGGTCCCGTGGCTCTAATTAAATATTTTAGAATTCTAATAGACAAATCACCTCAATCAAAAATCGCATGTCCACATTTTATCATGTAACGGCACCACTCAATTAAACTCAATTTAAAGGTCGGAGCTTTTTAATTAATTTTAAATTCCTAATATGTAACTCTTAGAAGACCATCATCCGAGGTATTTAGCTTTGACCTCATGGTTAAGGGTAGCTCAAACTTAACACTTTTCCATACGATAATTTCCGTACCCAAATCAGACCAAAATACCATGTCGATTAAGCTGTATTGAAATTCATCCTGCGATTTTTTTATTATCGAATTTTGACGTGATCTTAATATAGCGGTATCGACCAACACCAGGTATATAAAAAAATATTCCATTTTCCATTTTTTTCTAAATACAAAATTTAGTATTATTTGAAACTTTTTGTTTCTTTTTTGTACGTATTCTCAAAAGAGCTTACAAATCTTAACTCTTCACATTAATTGAAACTCCAATACTAATTTTCAGATTTCAAGCACCCAATACCAAATTAAGAATTTTTTCACAGAAAATAATTTACTGTACAAAACAAAAAAAATCATTCAAATTTGTGAAAACTTAGCAAATCCTAAATTTTTTATCAGTGCACGGCATAGTGCGAAAATGGACAGATACCTCCCCACACCGGATCTAAATTTGGAAATATCTAACTCTTATAAAATGTGAAATAAATGTTCGCACATCTCGACAAGATCTGATATGAAGAAGGAATATATTGGTTCACTCCTTTTGATACCTCCCCCAGAAGGGGTCCAACTTTTTAATAATAATGACAGCCATAAAACGAGAACTGAGCATCAGATTCCCCTAAATACTTCTATCTACACAAGATCTGCTGTGAATATATCGGTTCAATCCTTGTGGTACCACTCCCACAACGGGTAAAAAATTTGAACAACCATGATACCCGAAATAAGCATTCAATTCTCTTCAAATTTCACACATTTCAATATTTCTACTAATGCATGATTTAGTATGAAGATGATATATATATCAGCCAACCCTGTCTGCTAAATCCCCGACAAATGGTCACAATTTTCACTACTTATGTCTCTCATCAATTCCATTTATTTGAATTGGAATTTTAATAGTTCGTGGATAATAAAGTAAAATTTCTTTACTTTTTGATTTGAATATTAATAAAGAACCATCTATTTATTTGAGTAAGAAACTAAAACGATCTCGCAATTTCGGCGCATTAATTCTTGGTATATCTATATATTTCTCTCAACCAAAAATATTAAACTTTCGATTATCAATTATTCGCATAAAATTGAAAATAAATTTTCCATTTTCTTTCATTTTGCATATTCCAATCAGTATAAGATAAAGTGGAAATCTTCGTTCCACTATATCTGGTACTTCACGCACATTTCAACATTTCCCACAGTCCAAATCGATTTTATATTGTCTAAATCTGGCGCGTTGTAATATTTATGTTGGTTTTAGGTCAGATACGAAAAGGTCAATATTAGCACATTCTTTCGGGTCAACATTTCGAATAACCATAGCGCAAGTAAACGAAGATGCGCTGATACATCTGTCGGCATAACCGACTGATACTTTTTAACGTGTTAAAATACGTGTATCGTAATGAATACAGTGGCTTTAACACGTGAATCAGCGATAACATTTAAAACTTGCGGTTTTCCGAAACAGTTACACACATAATTCCATATCAAAATACAAGTTTCGATTTTTTCAATTTACCAACTATTCTGGTGATTGTTCTTGAAATTTTGTTTCGTAAGAGCCTTCCATCTCCAATTACAAAGAACTGAAGGAAATTTGAGTCAAACCGGTCAATCCGTTATCAACTGATTACTTACTATACATTTTCGCACCAATTTTATAAACTTAGAAAATTTAAGTAGTGCCTCCCCCTCAAAATAAAAAAGCTTGAAATGATAAACAAAACGAAAGAAAGGTTGCATTTGCCGTGAAAATTCCGAACGAAATAAAGTAGATTGATAAAATTTAACTCAAATGTGTACTATGTCTGCAGGTCTTTTGGTATTGAAAATGAATCGTGTAAGTCCACGTTTTGGTATAGCCCCCATTTAAGGGACAATATTCATCGGAAATGTTTCAAATTTCGTATTTAAAGTTCGTAATGGGTAGTACAGCCTACGACAGAAAATTGTCTGTGCAGGTCCACGTCTTCGAATAGCCTCCATATAACGGTACCTCCCTATATTCGGTATTTTGATGATTTTAGGTACATTATTCACCATTTTTTTTTTCAAGTTTCGCATTTGAATATCGTAATGACTTATGACAAAATTTGCCCATGCAGGTTACGTCATCATTTAGACCCAAATATAACGGTTACATACGTTATTTTTAAGATTGTAACAGAATTTGTAATATATTTTTTTATTATTATTATTATTTTTTTGAAGATTGCCAAATTCGTTGCAAATGGTGGATAGTATTCAAAGTTCGGCCCTTATTGCTTTTTAACGTTAACACTTACTTCTTTTTAATGTGATTTTGAAAGTTTATCTCTGAAAACTGAGAAAATAAAATCAACCAAATAAATTGTTATTTATACAGAAAACTCTGGCACTCCTCCAAAAAAAAAAAAAAAAAAAAAAAAAAAAAAACATTATTTATATTCATCTACAAAAAAGATGTTTACTGCACTTTTCAGAAAGGCCTTCAAAACAATTAGACCATGAAGACGGAAATTTATGTTTCTTTTTCCAATGAAAAAATCTACATACATGCATATGCACATAGTTATTAAGAACTTGGCGATACCAAATCAATGGGAGATCAATGCCTACAATTAATTTTAATTCCGATTGCTTTTTGTTTGACTTTCGTTGCTTGTATTCCTCCGGTATTGAAGAACCTTATCAAAATTCACGATTTTGTAGGTCATGACAGTATCAAAAGGTTCAAGTCTTAGCTCGGCGCTTATCAGTGTACGTTCGTTTTCTGGGAAGGATGACAGAAGATGCTTTTTTCGACGAAAGCCAATGCATAAATATTATGTTTAGTTCCGAAAGTCGAGTCATTAAGGAAAAGTTGGTGGTGGAAGCAAGACATTCATATACGAAGACTAAAAAAGAAAAATAAAATACGAAAATGAAATACTTTATGGTATTGGCCGCATTGTGCCTCAGTGCTGTTGTGGCAGGTAATATTTTAAATACTATTCTAATGTGTGACGCTTGTGTAAAAATGAACAAAATTAAAGTGAGAAACTAAGTGAAAAGACTGTTAACTGAAACATATAAAAATGGAATTGATTGGAATCAATATTGTTTTTATAATACTAAACTGAAAAAAATAAAAATAAATAAATCATACAAAAATCTAAAACAATAATGTAAAATGTTGAGTTTGGAAGCGACGTATTAAAAAATACATTTCTAAAAGTTTTGTTTTATGTTGTCATTGGGTCTTTATTTATTGTTGATTATAGAAATTCAACGTGGCGTACAAAGCGACCACTTCCTCACTATGGTAATGCTTTGTAGGGCCGTATAATCATAACACGCCAGGCCCACATCTTTAAACTTACTAAATACTACCATTGTTAAAAATTTGTACTATTTCGCAATTCCAAATATTCACGTTTGTTAAAGTTAAAATTGTTCAACTTGCAAAATGTGTACGTTCGACGTAACATACACTTAAATACATGTGTTTAACTTTTGTGGTGAAAAACGTGGAAATCAAACGTCAAAATTAAGAGATATTTATAGCGAGTTTTGGACTTGGCTTTATGGCCGGAGAATTGTTTGTATTTTTTTTAAGTTTTCTAAAATTTATAGAATTTACTGTCGACTATTATGAAATTTTCTTTTACATATTTATTTTTGAATCGGACCCATTCACAATATTCTGTATTTTTATGAATTTAGCCAAGCAAAATAGGTTTATAGAGTTTGAAACAGAGTCCATCATATCTGCTAGAAATGTATCTATACTAATCCATTGTTTCGTATAACTCCCACATATTCGGTATTTTTAGTTCGCAATACATATTTAAATATAATTGTTTAAAATTGTCATTTAAAGTTCGTAATGGCATCCCTTATGGTAGATCGCTTCGTATATAGGATCAGGTTTTTGTATAGCCCTCATGTAAGAGAAACTTCTGATTGTCTGTATATTTATAATTTTAGCTCAATTTCCCAACTGATTTTAAAACCCTCAGCAAAATGGCTATTTTGTGTGTGGACAACTTAGGCCCAATCTTTTAACCTCAAAGGCTTAAAGTTTTGAATAATCAAAAATAATAGTTAAATTGTCTTCAAACTTCGTATATCTATGTGAATATTGTGCATATCGGGTCACATTTTCGGTACCCATAAATAAATGGCCAAATACTGAGTGTCAATATCTCCCGGCAAACCGATTTCTACTTTTTATAGCATTACTAAAATTCAACGTACTCGGTCGACGTTTTTCATCACACAAGTTAAATACATATGAATGTTACCCAAAATTCGTTTAGCGTACGAAAATTCATAATTGAAGACAAAAGAATTGTTGTTACAGAATCACGATAAATTGTATGTGTGTGATGGGGAATTTACATATGAACTATTTTAGTACATCAACTTTTGATTGGCGCATCTCATAAGGTTTTCTTGACATTTTACAATTTTTTGATCCATTTTGAATTTATTAGACCGGGCCGAACGTTAATACCCTCCACCATTGGGTAAAGAAAACATTTTTATATAAGAGTATCTGAATTCCAGCATATTCCACTTAAGCTACATATACCAGTAAGACTGTTTGGACAATGTAGTTAAACTTATGAAATGACCATAAAGTGAGTGGGCCGTTATATGTGGGCCATACCAAAACGGGGTTCCTACTTTATATTACAACTATTGTTAACTATTGCGAGTCTAAAATGCCAAATTTAAAAAAATACGTGGGTAAATATGACTAGGATTATCCAAATACCGAATATCGGTGGGTACCGTTATATGTGCACTATAGGAAAACATGGACCTATATATTAAATGTTCCGCCACAGGAGATAGAACCCATTATGACCTATAAATGTCAATTTTTAGACAATGTGGAAAATGTGGCACAAATTATCAAAATACCGAATATCGGTAGGTACCGCTATATTGGGGCACTACTAAAACATAGATTGGTATATTTAATTTTTAGTACCAACCATCCTAGACACAATACAAATTGCTGTGCCACATTTTGAAGCCCTAAGTCAAATAATGGGGGCCGTATCGTGATTTCAACAGACAGATGGAAATCGTTAAATCGACTTGGAACTTTATGCTGTTAATGAATATATATGCTTTATGGGGTCTACGAGGAATATTTAGAGATGTTACAAACGGAATTACAAAGTTAATATACCCTTCTTATCAAGGCGGAGGGTATAAAAATAACAAAATAATGGTTATGGAAACACTGACATATCGAAGACTTTTAGAAATAAATTCGGACAATTTGAGTGAAAGTAACAATGTTTATACAAAAATTGGAAATATAACAAAATTGGAAATTTTCAATGTTTACAACGTTGATATTTGGAAGATTGTAAGAAATTTACCTATCGTATTTGGGTAATACGGAGGTACCAAATAATTTACCATAGTGGGGAAGTTGAATAATTGTGTACGCTCCGTCGAATTTTAGGTAAAGCTGTTAACTTGTTTTTTATTTATTTATTTTTTTTTTTGAAATCTTGTATAATAAGTTTCTAATAATAAAATATGTCAATCGAACACTTGGCCTCGTGATTTACTTTCCAAATGTTGAATGCAATTAAAACTTCGGTCTGGTCGAACTTAACTGCCTTCTTAAATGTTTAAATTAGAGATTAAATTATAAGGAGTACCAAACAAGACAATAAAAACGAAAATTTTGTGAAGTATTGTTTTCTACAAAAAATGTGAAATTTTAGACAATTTTCGTTTTGGAAAGGAAAAAAATAATGTTTTTCAATACAGATATTTTATTTGGTAAAGAAGTTTTTTTTTGCGCTTGACACTTAATCCTACAAAAAACATATCCTTTTTCTTTCGTCCACAATCAAATTCGATCTAATAAATAATATCAGTTTTTACGAATATGTCCTAAGTTCCTCTGCTAACTGCACAGGTCTAGTTTTAAATACATATTTCAAGTTTATTTCGAAATCCGTATATGACATAATAAATCCAACTGACCTTATATTTTTGTGGTAAGGCTAATAAACATTTTCATACATCATAACTACAATTAGCCAATGTGAATTAAATAAAGCGCATTAAAAAATCAACAAATTAATAATTATTTTTATTAGGAACGAATTTGAAAGATATATATATATATATAATGAAAATAATGGTTATAGTTATAATGAAAATATTGGAGAATTCACAATTTTTATTTGATACAAGATGAAAATAATATATATTTGATATTTGGAAGATTTTAAAATTTTGTTTTCCTTTTTGATACACCGGATACAAAAATGAATACATACATACTACACAATTATACACTAAATACATTTCTATGGTCAATTACGATTTAGTCTGTACAATTACAAAATCTACATTTAATATTGAACCCCCAATGACCCACATTTCCGAGTAATTAGTATTTTTTTAATGACTCTTCTGAAAAACAAAAATCGCTCTCAAACAACAGTACGTTGCCATGGCAAAGGCATTTAATTTTATCACCAAAATGTTTCGATTCTTTTTATAATGCCCGAGTATTCCAGAATAATGTCCGCATAATGTCTGGCTAATCATTGAGACCGATAACTTTTGACACTAAATTTTGAATGTCTTTATGTGGATTTCAAATATTCAGTTTTAGTCTTATAATAATGCTGAAATTTTATTTGGAAATATGTTTAGACATAATTTATTAATGACCACATCCTGTTTTAGAAATTAATTAATTTTCTTTTTTATTTTCAGAGGACTTGCACGAAAGGTATGCTTTGAAATAATGAGTTTGAAATTAAATTTAATTTATTTTACATTCAATTGTTGATTCATGCTTTTATTTGCTTATTTTGTTTTGTTTAATTAAAGGCGTGATTTTCACAGTCTGTAAGTACCGCATCCATTAAAAAATTCAATTGGTTGTTTGCATTTGAATTTTACATTAATTGGTTGAATTGGTACAAAAATATTAACAAAGTTGTAACGTTTTTTTAAATTTTAACAAAGCTAAACAAATATATTTAATAATAAAATGTGAGGATATGGTTTATCAATGGGTATGTCGTTCTGTTAAGAATTAACAAAATATAAGTTTTGTTCATTACTTTAAATAGTTATATTAATATTTAAACAACAAACTATATCCTCACAAATAATTAAACAGTAATTAATTACACACACACAAACTTCTTATTGGCATTTCTATTTCAAAAGACATTTCAGTCAACACCAACAAACTCTTGAAGAGGCTAAGAGAAAAATTTCAGATGTTTTGGATGGGTAAGTTTGGAAGATTGCAGCATCTTCAGTAACGGCACTCATTGACTTCCATGCATTTTCAGACAAGCATCATATGAAGAGGTTGGCAGTTATGGCGGTGTAGGTGGTGTAGGCACCGTTGGCCTTTCTTCTGGCTCCTCCGGCTATGGCTCAGCAGGTTATGGCTCTGCTGGTTATGGATCAGCTGCCAATTCCGCATTTTCTTCATCTGCCAATTCTGGCTTCAGTTCCTCAGCTAATTCTGCTTTCAGTACCTCTGCCAATTCCGAATTTGGTTCCAAATTTGATGCTGCCAGTGGCGCTGCCTTCGACACTAACGCTAAATTTACATCTGGATCGAACTTCGGCGCTGCCCACTCTGCCAACATGGCTGCAGCTACCACATCCGGTTTCGGTTCCGAGTCCAGCTACACAAGCGGTTCCCAAATTGGACAATCTGTTGTTATCCCCATTGTCAGCGGTAGTACCGGTGGCCACGAAAGCTATGTAAAACACGAAGAAAAAATCAATCAGGTCGCTACCCCTGTTGTCTATACAGCTCCAGCTGGTGGTGCTGAGAAGTACTATCACCACGAAGAACGTCGTGTTACAAACGCTGCAACCCCTGTTGTGTACACTGTGCCCTCTGCTGGTTCCGAAAAATACGTCCATCACTCTGAAAAGCGTGTCCAAACTCAAACTTCAGCCCCCGTTATCCAATTTGCCCCATCTGCCGGCGGTGAAGATTATGTTCACCACGAAGAGCATGTGGTAGAAACTAAGCCCCAGGTTATGCAATACATTGCCCCCTCAGGTGGTTCCGAGAAGTACTATCATCATGAAGAACGTCGTGTCCAAAGCCAGCCCCAAGTTATTCAGTACGTTGCTCCTTCTGGTGGTGCCGAGAAATACGTTCACCATGAAGAACGTCGTGTCCAACAGACTCCAGTCCAAGTTGTCGTTGCTCCCTCTGGCGGCCAAGAATCCTACATGAAATACCGTAAAGTTACAACCTCCCAGGCTCAACCCCAAGTTGTGGTAACTGCTCCCGTCTCTTCGTCGTACGTCCACGAAACTTCGTCCGCTTCGAACAGTGGCTCTCAGTTGGGTGCTTTGTTGACTGGTGGACTTATCAGCAGCTCAACCTCTAATGTTAACTCCGGCTTTGGTGGTGTGTCCGGTGCCTATGTTGTGCCAACTATGAGTGAGTTTATGGAACATTTTGAATAGAAAGGAGATCTTTACATTTACAACCTTATTATTCATTTTAGCTACTGGTGCCTTGACCACTGGTGCAACCAACTCTCATTTCAAAACTGGTTATGGTGCATCCCACCATGCTAACTCTGGTTTCGGTGCTGGTATGAGTAGCGCCATGACTGACTCTGCTTCTTTCGGAGCCGCACATAAATTCGGTTCTTCATTCGGCGCTGAATCTAACTTTAATTCCAAATTCGGCACTCAATTTGGCAGCAGTTTTGGTGCAGGTGCTACTTCCGGTACGACAGCTTCCACCACTTCTGGCTTAAACAGCTACATGCAAGAAGCTGAACGTTTGGCTAAAATGCAAGTACAAGGTATGAATGTTGGAGGTACCCGCACTGGTGGCAGCCAATTTAATGCCAACTATGACAGCGCCAACTTTGGTCTTGGTGGTTTCGGCGGTACCTCCGCTTTGACCGCTGGCGCCGGTGGCCTTGGAGGTGCTGGTGGCTACAAAACCAAATCCTGGGAAAAGGCTTCTAAATGGTCCAGCCAATCTGAGGTAAGTTAAACCCGTCAAACTCGATATCCGCAAATTGTATCTAATAGCTCTGCCTATTTCAGTTTGGTCCCGATGGTCAAGTAAAGAACTACAAGGAAATGTCCACTGGTGAAAGTGAAAACTACGACATCAATGGACGTCGCGTTGGCTACAAAGCCGCCACCACCACCCTCGACGATAACGGCAAGTTGAGCAGCTACAGTCTCCACACATAAGTGGGGGGGATTCGAAAAACTGTCAGTGTAATGAATAAATAAACAACGTATAGATTCAATATTTGATAATAGATTTTCAATAAAACCTTAAACAAATTGTAAAACGTAAAACGTTGTTTTGAATATTTTTTGCTTTTGCCTGGACTACAGGGATTATTGTAAACAATAAGCTAATTTAAAATCTCGTAATAGGTTATACTTACATTATTTAACATCATATTATCATTAGCTGATAACAAATGTTTATATTTAAAAACCAAGTTCTTATGTCTGATGTTTTCGACATTTGCTGGGAAGTATGAATCATTGGGCGAGTTTAAAAGACCATTACCGAATAATCAATGTGTGGAATATTTACCTAAATTTTGGACCATAGTGGTATCCATATAATAGTATGAAAAAATGTTCCCGTTAAGGGTCGATTTTAAAATTCCTTCATTTTTACATTTCCCATAATAAAATGTTTACAAAGGCAGTATGTATTGGAATAGAAATAACAGCAGGATAGACGGGGTTCGTAGCAATTCGAGCTATATGTTACATAATATAATCATGCGGGACAAACTGGGTCAGGTAACGTCGCTCATAAAGCTATAAAGATTGGACAAAATGCTTATGGTCATTTAATATTATCAGGTATTCATTAAAAAAGTTACAGAAATGTTCTATTCCTAAATTGTCAAAAAAAAAAATTCAGAAAGTCGCAAAGGAACAATATCATTAATGATATATTCCAGAGAATTCCCTTGTACTTTGAATTAATTACAAGTAAAAGTTCGATTCGGCCGAATTTTTAATACCCTACACCATTGGCTACAATTATCAAAATACAGAATTTTGGATTTGGTAGAGTTTTATGGGAAAGCCTGGGCTTGTATTATTATTAACTGCCAATTATCTGTGTTTTGCGAGATCCAATTACCAATTTTGAGATAATTCCGTTAGAAAATGTGGCAAAAACCGGAAAAATACGGAATATCGAAAAGTAGCACTATAATGATGTAGACCATCATAAATATTTTTTGCATAGGAAGTGGTGCCCATTTAGAATTACGTCAAAAATGTTGATACAAACCATTAAAATACCGAATATCGTTAGGTACAGTTATATGTAGGCTATACGAAAATTTAGTTCATTTTATATCAGAAAATATAACAGGTATTGTTTACACTTTACCAGCTCTAGATGGTCTGGCTATATATACAGACGGTTCCAAGATGGATGATGACGCCGGTGCTGGCGTATTTTACTCAATCATTATACTTAATGACAATTGCAGCGTTTTTTCAGGCGGAGAAGAAAGCCGAAATTACAATAGGAAAACAGGGCCAGTGACTATATATCGGTAGTCAAGCGGCACTCAGAGCTATCAAGTCAAGTGTCATTAAATTGAGAGTCACTCTTGACTGCAATAAAGCCCTCCTTTAAACGCGTGGGCGTAGGGAACGAAATTACTCGAGCAGATCCCAGTCTATTGATACACAGATTGATGAGACTGTTAACCCACCAATAAGCTTTTACGTTAGCTGCTTCAAAAAATCTCTCTTCGAAGAAGCCGAAAGAAGATGGCACTTGGAAACCGGTTGCAGGATATGTAAGGCCGATAATCTCGAGGAGAATAACAAGCTGCATTCTATCACTTAGTAGGTCTGATCTAAGAATCGTGGTGGGTCTGTATCAGATCTCTGGCCTCAACAACAACAACAACAGAGGTAGAGACGAGCAAACATCTACTTTGCACATGTCCCATGTTATCCAAGAAGAAACATAGGCTATTTGAAAGTCATTCCCTGGCTAGACATGCCACACTACTATCTACAATTACCTCTATAAATCTTTTCTGCTCCTTCTCGTATCATCCAAGTGAAGCAGTTGTCAAATTCGTGTAGCTACGAAATGGGGCTAAATCGTGAAATTACCGAATACCAGAAGGTACATTTATGAACCTGATGTTCAGGTACGTGAATCGTACGTGCAATTTCAGTCATAGAAGCGAACACCAATTACGATCTCCAAGTACCAAATTTGTAACAATTCAGGTGAAAAAAGTGGCGTAAATGGCGAAAATACGGAAAATTATATGAGGACTGTACCAAAGTTTAGACCTACATAGACAGTTCTTTGCATAGATGTATCCTACATATGGACACAAACGGTCAATTTACAGCAAATTCCGTTCAAAAATGTGGCAAAAACACCCAAAACACCTTAAATCTGCTGGTACAGTTATATGTGGGCTGTATAAAATGTTGACCTAAGTACCCAATTTTCAATATCAAAAATATTACGGACCTAAAATGCATCTCAATAAAATCTTATCAATTTTCTTCACTCCCTTCGGATGCTACATTGTTTTGCAAAAAGGGACAGACAGATAGTCGATAAGGGATAAGAGAAATTAATATTCTTTTTAAACCTTCAGCATAGTATGGAGGGTATATAAAGTTTGTCATTCCGTTTGTAACACCTCGAAATATACATTTTAAACCCCACAAAGTATATATATTCTTGATCAGCATAAAATTATATTTCGATTTATCAATGTCCGCCCGTCTGTCCGTCTGTGGAAATCACTCTAGCTTCCGAACAAACTGAAGTGTGTTGATAAAATTTTACTCAAATGTGTATTATGTCTACAGGACTTTTGGTATTGAAAATGGGCCATGAAGGTCCACGTCTTCGTATAACCCCCATATGACGGAACCACCGATATTCGGTATTTTGATGATTTCAGAGACATTATGTACCGGGACTATTTCAAATTTTGTATTTGCTTTTCGTAATGAATACTACAGCCTATGACAGAAAATTGTCTGTGTCACGTCTTCGTATAGCCCCCATATGACTGGACCACCGATATTCGGTATTTTGATGATTTTAACGGCATTATTTACCGGAATCATTTTAAATTTGTGTTTGAAGTTCGTAATAGATACTACAGCATAGAACAGAAAATGGGCCATGTAGATCCACATCTTCGTATAGCCCCCATATGACGGAACCCCGATATTCGGTATTTTATTGATTTTACCGGCATTATTTACCGGAATTATTTTAAATTTTGTATTTGAAGTTTGTATTTGATGGATACTACAGCCTATTCCAGAAAATTGTCTGTGCAGGCCCACGTTTTATAACCCCCATGGTGCCTTCGTATATTCGGTATTTTGATGATTTTAACAGAATTTTTAACGGATTTTATTTTTTTTGAAAATTGCCAAATTTATACCAAATGATGGAGGGTATTCAAAGTTCGGCCCGGCCAAACTTATAGCTTTTTTACTTGTTTTTCTTTATATTCTACGATTTACTTTAACTGTTTTTAAATATGATGTTGGTGCAAAAGGATTAATGAAACTAATAATTAAAAATAAAGAAAAAAAAATGTTTTATGACTGATTTGATCATTATTTTTATAAGCAAAGAGGAATTGACTGGTGAACGGGCTGTTTTTTTGAGCAGCACTGAATATAATATTATGTGGGTTCTAAAATGCATATTTAGAGGAGTTACAAATGAAATGAGAAAGTTAATATATCCTCCATAGTATGGCGATGGTTGTAAAAATCAGCGAAATTCTATAAAAACCTCAGGTCTGTTAGATTAGAATATAATGCTATATCAAGATATGTGGTGAAAAACATTTTTTTCTACATCCAACACCATCTACCGAAATATAACAGCAATTCAATGTTCCATCTTTATGTGTTATACGTTTTGATACTACTCAAATGACCCATAATTACCGATAGATGGCAGACAATGTCAACGGTTACTATGTCTAAAACATCTAGCTGTCAATAGATGGCCCTGCAAAATAAAAATAAAGTGCTGAATGTCACGGGAGACAAACAAACGCACATTGTACATTGCACACCCAACCGAGTTCGGCCTAGAAGCAAGTATATCAAATTTGGAGAAAATCGGTTCAGATATAGCTATAGCTCCCATATATATCTTTCATCCGATTTGATCTTTAAGTCCCTAACATTCCTACTATGCACTCCACAACTGTGATATTTGGTACCAGGTATTAGATGGAGCACAGAAATAGCTGTTTTAAATTTTATCGAAATCGGTTCAGATTTGGATATAGCTCCCATATATATCTTCATCCGATTTCGGGTTAATTGTGCACCAAATGGCCGATATAAGTCCAAATGGACTGAATTTTAGTACATCGGATCAAATTCAGCCTAGAAGCAAGTATATCAAATTTAGTGAAAATCGGTTCAGATATAGATATAGCAACCATATATATGTTTCATCCGATTTAGTGTTTTAGTCCCATACATTCGTAATATTCACTCCACAACCGTGATATTTGGTACCAGGTATTAGATGGAGCACAGGAACAGCTGTTTTAAATTTTATCGAAATCGGTTCAGATTTGGATATAGCTCCCATATATATCTTCATCCGATTTCGGGTTAAATGTGCACTAAATGGTCAATATCAGCCCAAATCACCTGAATTTTCGTACATAAGACCGAATTCAGTCTAGAAGCTAATACGTAAAATTTGGAGAAACCCGGTTCAGAGATAGCTATAGAATTAGATAGATTTTGATTTTGTACCAAATATCTCATAGAGCTCTGAAATGCCCTGTATAAACCTTTTTACGAGAGCTCTACTAAATATGCATAGTGGTGTAGGGTATCATATAGTCGGCCCCGCCCGACTTTTGAGCTTTCCTTACTGGTTTTCAATTGACTTGGCCTTCATTTGGCATTTTGGTCTACATTGGCGTACAAAAGGCAGCTTTATGTTGGTTTTACTCCAATCTGACTACAAGAGAGGGACGAACGTGGGTATATTACCTTAGAATTTTACTACTATGCTATATATACCTGCTTTCTTGGGCCTATAGGTTTACAAATTTCTTCGCTAACACAATTTCAAGGTATTTTCTTGGTATTGAACAACATATTAAATCTGTTATTCTAGCTTCTTTTCTTCTTCTAATAAATCCTCGATTCTTAAAAAATGATATCTAATGACGTCTGTTCACTGGTATAGAACTTTAGAGCTCCGTAAACATTGTATGACTGGTTTGCATAATTTTTTGTTCAAACATTCATAATACCCCGAGTTAGGCTTTTAAAGAAAA